CCCACTCCCGGCCATATGTTTAACTGAGGTTTAAAGGTCCAAATAAATAAATAACCCACCTATTTAGCCTCACATCCTTTGAGTCGGCTAGGGAGAGAGATGGTGACTGGTCCAAGGTGAGCATCATAGCTGAGTAGGGATTTGAACATTAGTCGTCAGTTTCCTGGTCCAACCCTTTAATCACAGCACCACCTCTCTCTCCGCTCCCCCCCCCCTCTCTGTGTTGGTAAGAGAGCTTCCAGATTGTTTCTATTTACTATTTTTGAGTGGTACTCAATCCCATACCAGCAAATTCGAGTTTCACTATTACACTTGATTGGGAGGACTTGCACAACAAAAGGGAGTTGTTAAGAGACCCATCTTTTCCTCACAATTCCAGAGTACTTTAACAGTCAAGCCCTCTTTCCAGGGAACTCTTTTCACCCTTAACAAACTACAGCACAGAGAATTCTTTGAAGGAAACTGTGACTGTTTAAAGTGGTTTTACAGTGCTTCGAATGTATGGTGTAAGTGTGGTCTAAATGTCCATAGGTTCTCCCTACGCAGCCATTCAGTACCACAAAGAAGACTTTTCCACACATCAATCTGCCTTGCTGGATCAGGGCAGAAATCGTTCTGTCAGTTCAACAGCTGCAGAAGCACTTCTGCACACACAAAAAGGTCCCATTATTTCCCACAAGCTAAACACAGATTCTTGCCCCAACTCTTCTAAATCCGTAATTTAATACCATAAAGCATCTTGGTTTTCTACCTTAAGCCGCCACAGTTTGTCACCACTTGAGAAAGATCAAAGCCAGCTGCTGGCCTGCTTTTTGACTAACGTAAAACCAACCCAGACTAAAATTACTTTGTGGAACAACTTTGTTCAGTGAGAGAGCCTTGAAGTTTCAATCAACACCAGTGTCTTCAAGGAGACAACAGCTACCATGAGATCACATTTTATTAAAACGCCATTGACAAATCACTTAGCAAAGGGATGGTAATTAATTGGTGCTTTGATGCATGATTACTGGCAGGTTGGTGTGTTTGAGTGGATGCTTAGAATTGTTACTACCACATCAGTGAGGTGTTCGCTATGGCTGAGGGGGGGCCACTGGTTCACTGGGGCAACTACATGTCCAGAGTTTTCACATAGGCCTAGAGCGGGGAAGACTTTCTTCAGTCTGAGGGTCACATTCTCTTCTGTTTATAAAATCGAAGAGCAGATACTATCCTCCCCTCCCTACCCTGCCTCCACAGGCTACAGAATTGGCTTTCAAAAGAACGAAAGCAACAACAGACCTCTGTAATACATTTTAGGTCAAACTGTCAAGGATAATCCCATGCAAAATTGGCATGTCTGGGCATTAAGGTTGACACACACAAAAATCGCAATAAATGATTCCGGCTTGATAATGCTTTGATTGCTAAATTCAGCATGAAAAGCATTTCCTCTCCTGGTAATAACAGAATTAAAAAGGAGAGACATCTATGCATTCCTTGATACTGCAAGATCTTCTTCCCAGCAAGGGATGAACTTGCTTGTTATTGTAAGGACAGGCACAGAACATGTAATTCACATCAATTTCTGATTTGTGGAGGGGAGCTTAATCAGCAGTGACATTTTGATGAAGCAGGTGGGAAAGCATTAATGCCGTAGAAAATATAGTATGTTCCAATAAATAACAAAAATTCGAGAGAAGTTGTTTGGAAATTCTCAGCACCGCCTTAAGATCTACAAGGGAATGCCTATAGGGGTGGTCTGAAAAGAAGGTCTCCTGCCAAAATCTAAGGTAAAAGTTTTACTTCACAAAGATTCTCTGACAAGAGAGACTGAGTGTTAAGCTGTTCTGGGTATTGTAGCTCTGTGATGAGAAAAGGGGATCTCCTAACTACTCTCAGCACACTTAACAAACAACATTTCCCAGGATTCTTTGGGGAAACCCATTATTGTTTGAAGTGGTATGATACTGCTTTAATTGTACAGTGCAGATGGTCCCTAAATATTAGCCACAGTTCAGGGTTGAGCTAAGTAGTGAAATCTTCTGATCTCATTGAGACCACACCAATAGAGGGGTGATGGGAAATTTGTGAGCTGAAGGCTCTCTGTAGTTTGCTCTCAACACACTAAAATATGGTTTAGCACAGCGATAGGAACCTGTGGCCCTACAGATGTTGCTGGACTCCACTTCCCAATATCCCCAGCTGGAATTGTCAGTAGTCAGGGATGATGGCAGGTGCAATCCAGCAACACCTGGGGGGTGTCCCTGGTTTAGCTTGATGTCCAAGCATGAACCTTTGTCTCCACACAGTGCTGACCACAAGGGAAGTTTGGGAACTTGCAATCATCCAGCTTTATGAGGAATCACTCTTTCCCAGTTCTACCTTGGAGTTCACTCAGAGCTTCCCAGTTTTCATTATCTCCAGCCTCTCACCGGCACCCTATAAAGGAAGCGTTTCAGGGTGACTGGGCAGTAGTTCTTGGTTTGGCTACCTGCTTGGACAAGCCCCTTCTCCACAAAATTCTGGTTCTAGGTCTGTTTTCCAAGCTGGCACCCAAGGATTGTCTGAGGAGATCCAGGCCAAGTATTAAAACACAAATAATCTAACATGGTCCACCACTATCACTTAGCTCAAAATAGAAAATCTCTCACCACATTCTTTCAATTACTTCTTCTGCATAATATGCTTTAGCTGCGTAAACCTCTCTCTCGTATATCATATTATATATCTATATCATATATCTATATCTATTCACACAATCAATTCCAACTGCTGATCTACAAAGGCATGTCTCAGAACAGGAGCCCACCTCATTGTGAGCCAAATTTTTCCCCAGCAAATCTTGATTGAAAAAAAGTTTTTTGACTGACACTGGCAAGACATATTACACCCCCTACCACCACCACACCCCCTTTAAAAAATCTATTGTCATCTCAACTCTGATTGGAATCTGGGGGAAAATATGATGGGTTTCAGAAAGATGAAGAAGAAATAAAATGTTTGGCCAGCTGCTGCCTCCATAACTCAAACTGTAATTGCAGTGACAAAGCCTGAGATACAAACCCCTGCCCCACTCAAAGATGTGCAATAGCTGGCTAGTTTGCAATTGTGGAGACCGACAACCTGCTGCTTTAATTGTTTTTTTCTGGATGGCTGAGGTGAACAATAGTTATTCGCAAAATGTAATGAACTGAAGCCTGCAAAATAGAAATTTTATAAATGGAGTCAGACCATGACAAATGTTGCCAGGAGGGTGTGTGTGTGTGTGTGTGTGTTTACACACACACACACACACACACACACACACACACACACACTAGCAAACCTTAAAACTGTTTTTGTTAAATGGGTGGTTGAAAGTGAAGACCCTATCATCAGACCCTATCTAGTGCATGAGACCATATCCAGCGTTACTGGTTCAAATCATGAGTTGTGAAGCTGACATGTTTCAACAAATAGTTAAGATTAACCACAGTTTAGGGTTTCAGCATGGGCCACTATGTCTTTTCTTTGAAGCACTGTAACAGCCCACAGGTTGTTTTAATGTTTTGCTTATTGTCTCACTGGATGCTTATTGCCTAGGCAGGCACATTATATGGCCCATGAAAGAGGTGAAACGACTGAACAGAATACCAGAGTTGGGAGAAAATCAGGTCAATTTTTTATTGACTTCAGCAAATAAGCAGGGTTGGCATGACAGTAGGGCAAAGATCAGTTGTTGATTCCACTCAGCCCTTGCTGATGGAATGTCACTCTGACAGGGTCTGGAAGCACCCAACCCCTCTCTGTGGGAGGCACCCAGTGTTGAACCCTGTTGTGGTGCAAACCAAGCATCCAGAGTCTCACTAGGGTGTGAGATTCCAGCCAGGCAGAAGCCTTCACCTGAGCTTAGGCCATGTCTTAGCCAATCCAAATATTATGTGTTTGAAATTCACAGACCCAAGAGGTTGGAAGATAGCCTGTTCTGCATGGCGTTGAACTCACCTGGAAGGAGCAGGTCTTTAACTTCGGGATCCTCTTGGATCCAACAATGGAGACTCTAGTTTCCTTGATAGGAAGAAGCACCTACTTCCTGCTCCAGCTGGTTTGCTACAGTGACCATCTTTATGAAAACAGGCCAGAAACCCAGTGCTGGATTTGCTCACAAAGCAGTGTCTGCAGTTTAAACTCTCCAATTGAATAAATTTGTTTAATGAAATATCAGTGTGGAAGGGGAGGAGGGAATCATGCAATCCCTGCAGATGTTTCTTGGCCTGCGATGAACTGTGAGCCTACCTGAGGGCAGATAATTAAGAGTCTAAATTAGAATTTTATATCTGGCAGTCTATTCCGCTTCAAAATGACAGAGAACATGCCATGGGTGTGATCTTTGGCAAGGAGCACACACTCAAGGAAAGTTTAAACTAAGTAATTTTAACATGATTGGTTGGGAAGAACCTAATGCTTTCCTGCTCACCTCCATCTACTTTCACTACAACATATCCAGTTTTAAAATAGCACAGTGGCCGGATATCCCTATAATATGATTTGCACGCATGGTATTCATTCTCCTGCTGTTTTTTATGGCATAGAAATGTACGACACTGCCTTACACCGAGTCAGACCATTGGTCCATCTAGCTTAGTATTACCTGCTGTAGTGTTTCTCAAAGTGGGTTGTACCACCCCCTGGGGGCAGTGGGGTTACCTGGGGGGGGGCATTAAGTGGCAAGAGGGTGGCAGGGGGCATTAGACATGTAAATGATAATCAGACTTTGCAAAGCTGATACCACTGGATCAAGTTCATCAGTTTTGTTGAATTAATTAAACTAACAAGTTCTAATTGGATTTTGAATAAATGTGCAATTAATTGCTACCATTTTGAATTTTGTTGTGTTATTATCTTCCCTGGTGGGTCATGAAAACTACTATTCTAAATAATGCTTTTTCTAGGGTAGGGGGCACAGGGGATGAGTTTATGGAACCAAGCAGGAAGTGGCCCAAAATATTTGGGAACCACCATTCTCTCCCAGCCCTACCTGGAGTCGTTGGAGATTGAACATGGATTCTTCTGCATGCAAAGCAGATGCTCTACCACTGAGATACAGCCCCTTCCCCCAAAGTGAGGAAGTGGCTGGAAGAACGGTGGCACTGAGGCTACAATCTTGGCATGCCAGATATTATCTGATGTGCTTCCTCACCCTATTGTCTAGCGTAGGGAGAGTTAGCCTGTGGTCCTCCAGGTGTTTCATCAGCCCCAGCATAGCCAAAGGATGCGGAGGATGAAAGTTAAAGGACCATAGCTACCGAAAGCTAGTCCACTAGGGTGAATGGGGCACTGCTCCTCTGCCAGCCTTCATACAGCCCCCACTTGTCTGCCTTCTTCCTTTCAACCAGTCCAGCAGTTGCACTGACTTGTCAGCTTCTTCCTCCTTCCTCCATCTCAGTGCTGCCCTTGTAGAACTCAGAAAGGAGGAGGTTAAGAGCAAGAATTAGCTCCGCCTGCCATTGGCTCTGGCTCCACTTACTCTTTGGGCTCCCTGTCTTCTGCCCTGTGAATCCTAATGAGCACCAGCCAGCACTAATCACCACCTCCCTGATGCTGTTTTGCCAGCTGCAACTTAGTCTACCCACCCCTCACTGAGCCCCCCCCCCAAAAAAATCAGTAGTTTGTGAGAAGGAGAAGACATGACTGGGGTGAAATGTCATCCTTGCCATCTCTTTAAACAGCCTATATAAAGATCACCTTCACTCATTACCCTTTGAATGATTTGCTACTGCTTTTATTGGCTATCCATAAGTTACCCTGTGAGCCTTGTTGGCTGAAGGGTGCGAAGAAAACCTTGCAGTCATTAATAAATACTGTCAAATTTGTGGCACACAGAAAAAGGCAAAAGGCCACCAACTCTGGCATCAGTGTAGTCACTTCTCAACGGAGAAGTCCCAGGATGTGCTCATCGGCAATACACCGTCAAGAGCATCTGAATACAATTAAACTCCTCGCTTGACACATGATCTCCCTTGGACTTTTACCACCAGAAATGTAATTCAGTTAATAGCTGATTAATTTATTTTTAATCAAAATGTTTTCGCTTTGGCATAGATTCCCTAAAGGTTAATGGTTCCAGTGAATTTCTATAAAGCCCAAGAGTGTCCGTACCGAAGCCTACAGAGATTTGACTTTGCATATTGATGATGCCCTTAACTTTCCCCTGTTGAATATTCATCCATACTGAACTGGAGACCTTGTTGCCAATTTGTTGCAAACCGTGGTAGGAAAGGGATCAAAAATAAAACTGCCAATATGGTAATTCCTTTTATACAGATCTGTTGTGCAGCCCCAGTTAGAGCAGCTCTTCTTGCCACATATCAAAAGCATAAAAATATAAGAAAGGTCCTGTTGGATCAGGCCAAAAGTCCATCTTGTCTAGCATCCTGCTCTCAGTGGCCAACCAGATGCCTGAAGGAAACTCGCAAGCAGAACCTGAGGACAAAAGCTGCCTCCCATGGTGGATGAAAGAACGCAGTCATTATGGTTAGCAGCTTTTGATAGCTTTATTTTCCATGCATTTGGCTAACCCTCTAACCCACCCTATCATTCAGGTTATAAATAGTTATAACAGGTTTTAATAGTGTGTTTTTGCATTGCTGTAACCTACCCTGGAACCTTATGGTGAAGGGAAAGCAATAAAACAGAAACAACACCACCACCACTCAACCCAAGATATAGGGAAGGAATGGGTCCCTTCAGATGTTATTGGATGTTATATCCCATCATACCTTATCATTGGCTGTGCTGATTGGGGCCAATAGATGTACAACAACATTTGGAGAGCCACAGGTCCCCCCATCTCTGCTATGGGGTTTCTGTCCTGTGACTATGGTAGCATATTCTCATAGTAGGATGGGGTGACCGTAGGAAGTGGAGTCGGACCGTTGGTTGATCTAGCTCAGTGTTGTTTACACTCATTGGCAGAGGCTTTCCAGAGATTCAGATCCAGGACATTCCCAGTGCTACCTGGAGATGCTGCGGATTGAATCTCAGAACTTCTACATGCAAAGCAGATTTTCCTCCACTGAGCTATGGCCCTTTCCTACAGAAGTAAATTCCTGGAGTGTATAATCTATGTGAGGAGCTCCCCTCTGGGCATATTGATTCTGTACTACTGAGTTTATTTTATTTAATTAATCAATCAATTAATTAACAAGTCACTTTTAAAGCATCAGAGGAACTTTGCTTTAAAAGCAGTGTGTTCACAGCTTAGGGGAATGGAAGAAAATGAGTAAAGTATGGAAAAGGCGAAGGGGGATGAGCAACAGTTTTGCAACATGGTTTTAGTAGCCATTTGGTGAAAACTAGCAAAACAGCAACCACAGTGGCATGTGCCAGATACATCTTGAGTGTCCACTTCTTAAACATGAATGTCTCTATCTGCTTTTGAATTTGAGCACTTAAATCCACGAGAGAGAGAGAGAGAGAGAGAGAGAGAGAGAGAGAGAGAGAGAGAGATTGTTCTGTGATCAAACTAGGGGTTGAGGGGGGGGGGGATTCAATTCAGTTCACACTGAAAGGCGAATGTAACAAATTTGCACTCTCAAAAACATTATGTAAACCAAAGCATAGCCATCGTTCAAATGTGGTACTTCTCCAAATCTGGCAATGCAGTTGCAAAGTGATGTGTACGAAAAAGGAATGCACTAATGTGAAGTGTGCACAAAAGTGAATATATTTGTTAAAAATAACAAACAGAAAGGCATTCTATTAGGGAGAATATAAATATTAGGGGAAACAACGCTTTGAAAACATCTGCTTATTAGGCAACATGGCATACAAAATCATGTATATTAGGAGCAATTCACACAAAAATGCTGATGAATTTTCATGAGGACTTTAAAAATGAATCACAAACCGAAGTGCAAATGTGGAGAAATGAATTCAGGACTGGGGCGGGGGGGGGGGGGGCAGATCAGACAATAAAATTGATAAATCCATCCATCCCTAGCCGCCACCCTTTGTGTATTTAAAGGAGGGTTGGGGTTGCTAATAAATAATTGCTTATTATTAAACAAAACACAGGCTCCATCAATAACCCTTTCCTTTTTCATCCCATTATCATGACATTGTCAATTCAAGGAGGGTTCACACACTGGCTGATATTTCTCTGAAACTAATGGAAGCATTTACTTCTAAGAGCACCTGCTAAGGAGAGAAATGCTTTGCAAATGAAATTATGAATGAATGGAAATGTCATGTATATTTCATGTGCAGGTGGCACCAAAGAGGCAGGCGTTTCTTCTGAATGCATGTGGAGGGCCCATCATAATGCACCTGCTTTGCATGTCAAATATCCAAACTTTGTGCCTGACATTTTCATTTAAAGGGTAACAGGGTAGCCAGACTTGGGGAGATCTGGCTCCCTCTACCTGAAGTTGGACAGAGCTGATTGTTCTAGATAGTCCAAGTGTTCTAGATGGTTCAATAATCAGTTCAGCAGCTTCCTATGTAGCCATGATCCTGCCCCAGGGAACTTGCATGATAAAATGGGAGAATCTATATATCATTGGTAGAGCACCTGCTTCGCATGTAGAAGGTCCTAAGTTTGGTCTTCAACATCTCCAGATAGGGATGGAAAAGACATCAGCATTAACCCTTGACAGTGGAAGCAGCACTGCCTCACCTCTGATCTTCTGAATCCTGTAATCCAACTCCATTTTAGGTTTTATATGATACAGCTATTTACTATATTCGTCACTAAACTAAGCAGTGAAGGTGTATGAGACTGATTTTATGATCTGTGTTGTAGATTTTGTTCCCTATTTATTTTATTCCATTCATTTTTTCCAACTGACCACATCAGTTATGCTATGTACATTTACTCTAAAATATTTTATGTGAAAAAATATTTGAAAATACAATTATTATTATTTTCATTAAAAAGGAAAATTAATGGATGAAGAGAATATTTTTTTGCAGTTACTTTTTTAAAGGCTCTAACTGTTAACACAACTGCCAAACACTTTCTGTTGGTGTTTTGAGACTGGATTGAGTCAAACTGGGGATCTTGCAAGGAAATCCCTCTCCCAAGACGTTCATGGGAATCTAGCTCAGCCAGGTTGTTCAAACAAATGCCTCAAAGCTAGGATGCTTTCTGAAGCTTATCTGGACCCAGCAGAACCTTCAGCTGTTTTGAGATGTGATTTGAATGGACTCGATATCAGCCGCTTCTGCATCACATTCTGATTTCGCCTTCTTATCCATGTGACATTGACCAACAGAGTAAGAGGATTGGGCTCCTTTGCAGTATTAACTGAGCTCATAATGTTCCTATTTCCTACCCCCCTCCCTTTTTGTAATCTCATGCAACAGATCCTGCAACCAACGTCATATGCGAGATGCGACACCAGGGAATGTGGTCAGAGAGAACGGAGCCCACAAGACATATTACTGCAAGAACATAAGTGATGGGATTTCACTGAGAAAGGCTAAGTAATGTTAATTTCCTGGAAGCAGATCCAACCTTTGGACCCAATGGCTCAGCCCTGCAGGCGACACATCTGTTAGCCCTGTGAAGGACTGGGTTGGGGAAAGGAGCTGGCAGAGCTACTCAGAAACTCAGCTGGAGCCCTGGAAACTGATGTTTCACTTGATGTGGCAAACGACAGGGCTTCCAGAATAATAATGTCTGAAACATCATTCTTTATTATTCGATGAAAATAAAATAAATACCACTCACATTCACTGCACTTTCCTTCCTCCTTAAAAGCACAGAATTAACATATTTCAGGACTGATCAGTCCGGTTTTAAAGGATTTTCTTTAAAAGTGAGCCGAACTTTGCAAACAGCCCAGATTTTGAATGGCAGCCCATGAATGCAAATTGGAGGAGATTGGCAACACCACCATTAGCAAATTAACATCATCCTGCCTTTGAAGGAAAAGTCAATTTTATTAGCAGAATACTAATGGGCAGTTAAAATTAGGATCGGTTATCCAAGAGGTTAGACAAGAGCTGCTGGCATAAGCAGCAGAGAAGTATGGGCTATATTGCAGTGGGCATGGGTGGGAATATGTAATGACCACAGCTCAAGTGAAATGACGATTGCTCAGTGACA